TCCACTTACCAAGCAAGCTGTCCTTCTCCAGGGACTGTGGATGTGCGTGTGTGTATACACACACATACATGGATGTCGATGAGGGGCTTCAGAGCGTTCATGAAAAATGGGATGAAAAGAGAACGGGATTTTCCCAGGAGCTGTCTGATGCTGCCTCGATTCGACCATGTTAGCTGGTGCCACAGCTCAAACCAACCCACTGCTGTCAGTCAATTCCCACTCATCGCCCCCCTGTGAGCCAGACTGGAACTGCAGCAGACAGCCTCCTCCCTCTCCCTCTGAGCGGCCGGTGGGCCTGGCTTGCTGTCCTCCACCTGAGGTTAGCAGCCCCATTGGGTAGCCCACGGCTGGTTCCAGCTGCCGCCACAGAGGGGTGGGAAGGGTGACAGCGCGTGTTGGGGGAGAGGGGTGCTATTTTAAAGGGAAGGCGCCCAGAGTGGCACACAAAGAGGTGACGGCGAGGGAAGGTGACCTCAGTCCGGGTGTCACCAGTGTGTGTGTGTGTGTGTGTGTGTGTGAGGGTCAGAAATGGATGAGGGCAGTCATTCTCTCCGGGCTGTTGGCAGGACACCAGGCAGGGGCTCAGAGGGGGCCAGGAGCAGGAGAGGACAGGAGAGGAGGAAAAAGCAGGGGGACCAACCAGGACTGCAGGGCTGGGTGTGAGGTGTCTATTGCCCCTGGGGGCCTGTGTGGCAACAGGACCCAAGGAAGACACAATTACTTGGGATGCTCCAGGCTCCCCCCAGACGTCCACCATCCAGCAAACGTGTGACCTCAGGTGACCTCGGTATCAGGCCCTGGCCAGGGGCCATTCCTGGGTCTGTCACCAGCCTGGCCTCATGGGCACCCAGCCCCTTGCTAATCTCCCTACATGACACACGTCGACTTCACCAAGCCTTCCTGAAGCACCTGGGCAGGTGGGCTTACAATCCAGCCCTTTCCAGGTGGCAAGCGTTCAGGTCGAGGGGCAGGAGAGGTGGGGGGCCTCGGCGGGGGGCAGGGAGGGGCCTCTATGGCCACCCCTCCCTACCTTCCGCGAGCCCACCTTCACCCTGCAGGTGGGGCGCATGCGGGCAGGGGGGAGCTCATTCCGAGGTGGCTGTGGTTAGGGGGCGGAGGGTCGAGTCCGGCTCCTAGCGACCTCATGCACAAGGAAGGGAGCGGCGCCGGGTGCGGCGCCAGCCTCACCATCTCTGCGGCGCGGGAGCCCCCAGCTGCAGCCGCAGCATCGCCGGCGCGGGAGCAGGGCGGGCCGCTGGAGCGTGCGCGCTGTGCACGTCCGAGGGCGAACTGGCACCTGGCGGAAGTCGGCGCGGAAGTGCAGCGGAAGTGGGGGGGGGCAGCCCATGAGTGGCCCAAGAAACCGGAAAAAAAACCCACCCACCCCCAAAATCCGACTCACGGCGACCCTTTAGGGCGGATTAGCGCTGCCCCATAAGATGTCCAAGGCGGTGAGTCTTTACGGACAAATAGCCTCCCATGCCTCCAGCAGATGGTTTGAACCCCGGACCTCGAGGCTACCCAGCCGACGCACTGCACCCCCAGCGCGCTTGCGCGGTTTAGCCGCGTTCGGCGGCCCGGGCGGGACTCTGGCGCAGGCGCAGGAGCGCTGGGTGGGGGGCGCGAGTGGGGGAGGAGGAGACGCGCAGGCACGCGTGCACCGGCGTCCAGCGTGGGCGCGCAGAGTGGGGTCGGGGGTCGGGGGTCGGGAGGCCGACTCCCCTCCTCCGACTCCGTCCCGCCGCTTCTGTGGCTCTGAGGCCACCCGGCGAGCAGACCGACCGACCGCAGTGGCCCCGGTCAAGGTCATCCCCGCCAGTCCTCTGCAGCCGGCCCTGCAGGCTTCCGCCGGCGCCTCGGCCGGCTCTTCCCAACCGCTCATCTCGGATTCCAGCCCCTGCCTCTGCGAGCGGGAGTCCTAGCTGCACCCACAACCCCCCACCCTCATCCCCACCCTCGCCACCCACCAGTCTCCGGAACGCTCTCATCCGTCCGTCCTGCTGAGAGCCGGTCCCCGGGGGAATGTAGGGCGTGAGGAGCACAGGGTCC